TAGCTCTTTAGCCGATAGTGGTGAAATCACAAATCATCCACAGCTTCAAATAGCTCAACAAAATAAGCTGGGTCTGATTAAAAACGACGTAATTTCTCACGAGATCACGTGTTTCTGATCAGAAGTCTGAATCCATGACACCCAGCGTGCGGAAACCTTTGCCATGACCAGTTCATTCATCAGAGTGTTCTCAACTCTTTCATGAGAGATGGCGACTGTATCGGCTGTGTGACGTGTGCTGAATCGTCGATTATCCACAATCACACTGCCAATCATCAACATTTGCCTTTGTGGTTGCAGATAATGGTCTTCCCGATCTTGGATCATCTCAGAGGCTCTTCTCTCTTCCCTTCTTCAGTTGGAGATACTTGATGATAGTACAATAGCCAATTTGGTACCGAAGAGTTTAATGCCCACGGAATGCATTGTGGTTTTGTATTTGTTCCAATGCAGCCAGTAAGCATGGAAAGTATTGTACTTAATACATATATAGTCTTAAGGGTGCACAGTACATATTTCTCAGTTAGTTTCAGAACATTTCAGCCACCCCTTGTATCTATAGCTTTCATAGAGCTTGGCAATCTACAAAAGACAAATGTCTGAGACCCCCACCAATACCTGCTTTCAAGTTTGTACTAGAAGGATGTAACGGTACAGTTTCATCTAAAAATGATAACAGAATACGATTGTAATAAATGGCTAGTCTATATGAAAATATAAAGAGCTAAAATATTTACCCAGGTGAATATCACGTTTCAAAAACAAACAAACCTTAAATAAAATCTGTACAGTTTTATTCAGTAATATCTACAGTAGAGAATATCAGTGATATATAAAACTTCATGCAGGTCAATTTAGAAAATAAGTAACTTTTTCCTTTGTGGTTCTAAAAAGTATTTTCTTTTTCTTTCTTTACTTCATTCAACCTACTATTCTGTCCAGAAAACATTTTAAAAATATGAAAAATCATACCCCCTACAGTTTTGAGATAAAATATCTTGTACGCCAAGTAATCAGAAACAGAGGTCTTTACATAATCATCTTCAGCTGTGACCAACATTGTCATTACCTAGAATTTACTTATGAACAAAGGTCGGTAATTACAGAATGTCTGTGGTATTTTCGATGCTGTATGTATATGTGTATGTATATGTATCTGTCTAAGAATCACATTTATATAATCTAGAACTTTTAAGCATAATAAAAAAGGTTTGTCAAATATCATAGACTATATAAGTTTATTTAACCACTGGATATGATAAGAATATGGCTTCAATTGAGAAAAGTATAATTTTGAGAAACAGTAAGCAACAGTAAGCAAAACATTATTCACAGATAATACATGAATTCATAATTAAGATACAGATTATAAACAAGTCATTCAATCCACAATTACACATTCAATCAGTCAGTTTCTTAAACTACTGATCCAAATAGGTGTAAATTTGTAAACGCTTGAAAACAAATTAAGCAAAGAGAAATGTTGACATTATGTGGGTAGTTTAAGTATATAACATAGTCATTGACTATAAGGGGCGGTCGGGTAGCCTAGTGGTTAAAGCGTTGGCTCGTCACGCCGAAGACCCGGGTTCGATTCACGACATGAGTACAATGTGTGAAGCCCATTTCTGGTGTCCCCCGCCGTGATATTGCTGGAATATTGCTAAAAGCGGCGTAAAACCATACTCACTCACTCACTCATTGACTATAAGAACAACATAAGGGTGACATAATAAACTCAACAAAGTCAGCGAGTGAGTTACAAACATTTCCGCAAAAGCGCAGCCATGATTCCAGCAATACAACTCATTATGAGGTTCTGATTTTGCGAATTTGTTTCACACTAACACAGTAGGTGTGTGAATAATATATGAAACTCTGGGGATCTGAGTTTCTCTTAAGTAAATGTTTTCATGTGATAAGCATATTTACACAAGTTAAGCAGTGTTCAGTTTGTCACTTAATGCGCACTGGTACAATGATCGAACAAATGAAGATTTTCCTGTTAGTCATTTGGTCAGTCACCTCTACTCTGAGAGTAGGTCTTTTATTTTGTCTACAAAATCTATTTCTCTCTGTGGCAATAACTCGCAGGACACGTGTGTGTTACGATTATACCCACTGTTCACCACCAGCCACAATGGGTCTCTAAACATGACCTCATGTACCTTTGCGACGACTCTCAGGTGACTTACGTCAAGGACATTGATTGTGTTTTGTGCTTCATCAAGTATGAAACAGAAATCCAGAGTGTATGATGTAACAGGCTTGTTTGGAGTTAGGGTGTTGTCAATTAGGCGTTTCCCATTGTACTTCACCTTGATACAGATATACTCGCCATGATTCGAACAGGTTGATATTCGTACACTCAATCCTATTGGTTGTTTCTTGTTAGCTTCAATAGGACTGTGAGTAAAAGCAGCCTCGAACATAATTTTGTCTTTTTGTTCTGGCTTTATGACAGAGAATGTGACCCTCATGTCACACATGATGCGTTGACCTTTCCCGACAACTAGAGATGTTGACCCAAGAATACGACGGTTTGATTGCAGGCGGCAACTCGAGGCTGGAGGAGGATAAACTGGGATTTCATTTGTGACAACAGAACCCGTCATCGTCACCAGTGCACTGGCAGTGCTGCTGTCCCACTCCAGGTCAGCATCTAGAGTAAACAAAATAACATGAATCCACTACACATGAAACACATGAATTTATGCCGACCCTTTACTTTACCATCAGAGTAATCAATAACATTTCCCAAATGCTACAGGAATATACTACAAAGGAGTTTCATAATAACAATTCGAAAATCTAGGCATTCAATAGTAGAAAGAAAACAATTCTCAAAATGCACATGCTTTATAATATTATTCTACACTCCTTGGAAAATGAACTCATATGTGCACTAGTGGACATGAGAGCTGGCGTCTTGACACTTCAATAAAGAGATCAATTCCAATACACATGCAATGGACGTTCATGAATTAAGACTTGGACATGATATCAAACAAATCATGAATGCCGAGTACGGGAAACGACATTATTTGTTCCAAACTGAATGAATAATGATGGAATTGTCAACATGTTTTCAGACTTCTTAAATATGTTCAAAAGTAACAGAAAGGTCAACATCTGGAACGTTTTGTGTGTATAAGCATTTCATGAAACACAATAATTATAAATTCAAAAGGTCAACGCCAGAAAATCAACAGCCTCGAATATCTGATTACATAGGGCACAAATGGCAAAACAGTGATGAAATGTATATGAATGGAAAGTACAATAGAAATGTTTATAAATTTTAAGAATGTACGTGGTCTGTTCTGTTCTTCCAAAATGTCTAAGGGTCCCACGATTTGCAGACTTGCATCCGTAAGGCGTGTCAGGATCCAATGATTGTGCGTTCGAATACTTGATTTGTCAGCTGCTGAATAGCAGTGCGCAGTACGATTCCGACTATATCAAAAGCATTGACGTTATATATTTACGAAGGCCTATCAACAAGTAGTGACACCAGGTGTTCGTGAAAGGTGGGCGTATCCTGATCCACCGATTGCACACCTCGCAAACACATGCAAAGGCAGGTCAAGTGTTCACCTAAATGAACATGGGAGCCTATGGCATAAGCAAAATATTAAAATGCATCTCACACCATTCTTGTCACTGATGCGTCAAATTTGGAAATATACTCCTCATGTATATCCTAACAATTTTTAACTTCCTTACTAATGCCTTGAATGCTGTAAACCGAATCAAACACCTTTTGAGAAAGAGTCGTATTACTCTCCTTGAAATCTCCATGGAATGAGCATGCTTAAGTGTACCTCAAAAGTTGTAAAATGTATTGGAGCTGCTGGTATATTGCTCGACATGTGGACTGTTGGAAGTTTAGATTACCTCTCTTGTCATAAATCTTGTTATTGCCACTCTGAAAGTTTATGCATGCATAAATCCAAATATGAAACAGACAAGGCGGTTTTACTTGCTGCTTGTCATTCTCGTTCAGATGGGTGAATCAATGAAATAGGAAATGGCTATTTGACAATTATAGAACTATATCAGATGATCAATAGAGCTGAAGCTTAAGTTAAACTTCTTTGCCAAATTCCAATGTTTTGATTTTGCCAATCCGAGCAGAAATTCCTATTCACATACAAAATGAAAGAGAAAACGCATAATACCATTAAGGCTACATGTACTTCACTCGTTCACATGAATTGTCACAGATTAGGTATATATTGCCAACTCACAATACATTCCACTTCCTCCCACAGGCTCCAGGTTCATATGTTCTGCTGCCGCTGCTGTAAAAGGAAACTGTCTGCTTTACATTTCTATCGTAGTTACTTTTGGCGTATTATTTGAAATATTGAGTTTTAATTTTCAAAATGGTACATCCACAAGAACTAATAAATAGCTTTTGGAAAATACAATACTTTCTTTGGTGTGAAGCTTGTTACCAGCCTGTTGATATATTGATTTTAGTTCTGCACCAAAGTAAAACATTTAGACAGACACAAGACTTGTTTCCTTGAAGTTATAAAAGCTATGAAGTTGAGCGTTCATGCAGATGTTCCCGTAAATAGATGGTCTTCTGTTTTAGCCGTTTCCGTCCAAAGGGTTTGGTTTGCTTTTCGACCATATCTAAAATACTATAGAAGTCACTGTTCTACTATTTTATATGTGGCTAGTGGGCAATAATTGTATTCACCTACGATCTTTTTCCCTTTACCCGTGACGACCCTGCTCAGAAATGATCTTCAGCTCTATCGGGATCGGGTGGTCTGGCTCGGTGACATGGTTGATGCATGTCATCGTATCCAAAATGCGTACATCAATGCCCATGATGTCAATCACCTGACTTTATGTAGAGACTCGATTATTTACAGACCATAAAATAGCTGGAATATTGCTGAGTGCGACTTTAAACGACAAACAAACAAACATTATCGCAACACTTTCATTTTAGGCACTTTTATTTCACATTCTCAGCAACATTCTCATCTTTTGGATGTTCCTTTAGATACTGTTGACGACATACTCTCTACGCTGAACCTTGAAAGAAATGTTATGATATATTTACCTTGTTCCAAAGTACCTTGGTCCAGAGTGATTGAATTGTATATCATGTTCAAAGGGACGTTGCCAGGTCTCTTTGCTGGTGAAAATGATACTACTCGGACAATGCCAGCTATCTGCATCAATGATGTTATTTTCTTGAAACATGCAGAAACGAAGCTGATTCCAGTCCTGTCAAACCCAACATCTTTAGGTGTCTCCGCCAAGATGGAATTCAAAGAGGCGGCTGAAGATCCCATCACTTGTAGATCCTCTATCTTGTCAGCTTTGCCTCTCATCTGTCTCGTGTATTCTGTAGAAGACTTCACTTTAGTCAGCAGCGTTACTGTGGATTCCAATGCCTCCTCTGCAGGCTTCAGAGCTTCATCTGACTTTGTTTCAACTTCTGACAACATGATGGTCTTCCTATGTTTCAATGCCTCAATCAGATTGGTGAAGGCTTTGTTGATCTCATCTTTGGCAGTGCTACTTGATGACTTTATGTTTTCACATTTCTTTTGTAGATCTTCAGCTGCTTTTTCAAGAGCTTTGCCTTTCTCATCTAATCTCTGCAAGACGTCTTCATTTTCAGCTGCCTTACTTTCATGTGCGTTTTCAACAGAAACAACGTTGTGCCCACTCCCTTTATCATGTTCCACTACTGTGCAAGACACACAGACGGCCTGGTCACAAGTGTGGCAGTAGAACTGTAGAGGCTGGTGATGTTGTGTACACTTATGGAGGCGACGGAAGCTCTCAACTGGTCGTTCCCTCATGTCGTCAAAACTGACAGTTTGGTGATCTCGCATAGACAGAAGTCTTTTGTAGGCATTTAGACACTCTTGGCACAGGAAGACGCCACAGTCATCACATCTGGACATGGCAGGGTTACCATCAGAAAAATTTGTACATGGCAGATGGAGACCTTTCACAATCTTCAGATGGTCCAGGATTCTTAGGATGATAGGCTCTTTGGACAGAGACTTCACACCACCCGGCAGATTATGTTGGTGTCGACACAGGGGACATGATAACGTTGGGAATCCTTTGCTGTGCGGGACAAGCTTGACATATTGACTGTACACAGCAGGGCATACGACGAGGTGTGTGTCTGGCCTCATCAAAGTGTTCTGTACATATTGGGCACTCGATAAGAAGATCCTTGATGGCGGATGCCGATACGTAGTCCGACATGGTTATCTGGAAATGTATTTAATACATAAGATGCATTACGGATTTCCAATATAACTTTTCTTTTCGTCTCGAGACAACTGATTCGAAATCAGGGCAGACACATCCAAACTTGCATGCTACGTACACCACTTAAAACTACAGGAAACACAATGTTAGTATTTGCTTTGTACAAAAATTCAACGTAACAATATCCTTATTGAGAACATAAGTTCATATTAACAAACAAACAAACAAACAAGAACATGTGACATTGGTGCAGTTACAAGTTATTTAAAATCCAGAAAATGATTTTTTGAGGAATTATCAAAACAGGAAAGGAATTAATCTAAACTTTGTTACGTGTAAAATATTTTCTTTGCAGTAAGTGAATTTATAGCCTACCTTATTATGTTTTTAACAACATTCTTATCTTGATAATAATGCATTACCTTGCAAGTGAACATTTCATACTTGAACAATGTTACTAGTATTTCCTGCTACCAAACATTGTTTAAGTAACATGATGCAGAATAAAAAGGTCCCACTGCGACAATATTTGCTCAGTAGTAGATATTTACCAACGCAAACAGACAGAACTGATGAACGTATGACCATGGAGACAAATAACTGGTTGGGGACATGCAGTCTAAACTATATCCATGGGACTGATGACCATGCCGCACATAATATTATCATGTGACTTCAGCTACAGATAGTGTACTTGCATATCTAGATGTGTGCTCGTGTTATTATCTGTTTTGTTTTCTTCAATTCCAAATAGGGCCGGTCGCGTAGCCTAGTGGTTAAAGCGTTCGCTCGTCACGCCGAGGACCCGGGTTCGATTCCCGACAAGGGTACAATGTGTGAAGCTCTGTTGATCATATTGCTGGAATATTGCTAAAACCATACTCACTCACTTACTTTAATTCCAAATAGTTGGATCCATAGTGGAACGATTGCATGTAAGAAAAAACATATTCAGCCTAAATCAACCATCGTGAAGTAGATATAATTGAAGTAATGCACACACATGTTCTTTGTTTTGGTATATTTTATGGAAGTGTTGCTCATATGTGGCGCTTGCCTTTTAAAATTATAGTGACCTTGACCTTGACCTTTCACAATAGTCAAACAAAAAGTCAAAAGTTTAACAAGACCCTTGTCCATGAGATTATGTATGTATAGTTTGAAGAATATCCTAGCATATAATGTTATTCTGTTTTATGGTGACCTTAAACTCTCACCAACGTCAAACAAAGCAACATTCAACAAGTCCATGAAATCATGTATGTCCAGGAGTATCCTGACATATTATGTTCTTCTGGTCATAAACTGTTAGTAAGCTTCTGTCATGGTGACGTTGACTTTGACAGTCGACCAGTCATATTCCAGAATGATCACATAAACATAGTAATGGTTGTTTCAGGTTTCACAACGCTTAAGGTACTGTAAGCATGCAGTGCATTTAGATGCACATATTTAGATTATTATTTTCAGCTGATCGAAAATCGGACACCTGCAATCGTCAATGCCATTCTTAAACAGGGCGGATCAAGCGTTACTCAATATTGAATTAATTACTGGATTTTAAATTCCAAGTTTGAACAATCGTTCTTCCTCAGGATGGAGTCTTATTCATTATTGAGTTACAACTGTAAAACTCATCATTCCAAGATAGTATGCAGGGTTATTCGTTATAAATACACATGTATGGTGTACTATTCCAAGTTGTTCAGATAAAGTAAACATTTAAGGTTTTAGAGGTATTATTCTTTACACCAGTTAAGTATCATCAATATCAAATTTAGTTCTGAGTGTTTGTAGCCGAAAGCATGAATGCTTCCCACGCAGGTAAAACATCCCTGAGCAGGACTAAAATCAGCAGAGATACACATGTATAACTCCCGAGCACTGGACAAACTTGCGGTCACCAAATAACCACACCCAGGACGCCTTCAGACAGGGGACCTAACACCCGCTGATACCCGAGGGATAAGGAACCCATCCCGCCAACACTATTAGTCTGATCCACTGTTAACGAAAAAACTCGCGTGCAGAGAAATGCTTGCTCTTGAAATGCAGTAAGCATACCTTAACTCGTTAATGGGTGTTGGAGGCGGGAATCAATCCCCGGCTCAAATCACTCTAGAGTGACTTGGGCCTTCGTTGAAATCAATCTACGAGGGCTATTCAATATATAACCAGCCTAACCTATTTGCTACTTCTCCTCACTTCTTCTTTTTCCACATAATCACCATTGAGGTCTATGCACTTTGTCCAGCGATGTGTGAGAGCTAAAAGCCCGCTGTGATAGAAACCATGGGGTTGTTCGTGTAACCACCCCTCCACTGCTGTCGTGAGTTCATCATCGGACCGGAAATGACGTCCATGCAGTTCTTTCTTCAAGTTTGGGAAGAGAAAGTAGTCGCTTGGTGCCAGGTCTGGTGAGTAAGGTGGATGAGGCAATACTTTGAACCCGTTACGCTTCACTGCGGCAACCGCAAGTCGACAGGTGTGCACTCTGGCATTATCATGTTGGAGCAGCACACCTTTTGTGATCTTTCCACGACGTTTGGCAAGAATAGCAGTCCGCAAACAGTCCAGGAGATCGGAGTAGTACTCTCCTGTAATAGTCTGGCCACGTGGCAAGTAGTCAATGAGCAAGACCCCTTTGGTATCCCAAAAGACGGTTGCCATGACTTTGCGAGCCGATGGTTGAGTCTTAAACTTTTTTGGGACGGGGTGAAGCAAAGCCAGTCCACTGCTTACTCTGTTCTTTGGTTTCTAGGTCATAGTGGTGTACCCAGGTTTCATCACCAGTAACAATTCTCTCCATAAAGTTGTCTGCACCCCGACTGCATTGCGTCAAAAGTGCCTGACACATTGACGCACGTACAGCCTTCTGATCATCACTCAGGCATTTCGGGACCCATCGGGCAGACAGCTTCCTCATACCCAGACGATCATGCAAAATGGTATGGACACTTCCCTCTGAAATGTCCAAGGCCTTGGCCATTTCTGACACCCTCATTCGCCTGTCTTTGACAACCAGTTGTCTCACAGCTTCACTGGTTTGGTCATTGGTCACCTCTACAGGCCTGCCAGGGCGTGGCTCATCTTCCCGGTTCACCCGACCCCTCTTAAATTCTGCAACCCAGAATTTGACCTGTGCATACGAAGGTGCACTGTCACCATAAACATCTTACAATTCATCATGTATCTCCTTTCCCGGGTTCCCTTTTAAGTAGAGGTACCTAATAACAGCCCTGTGTTCAACCTTTGACGAAAATTTGGCAGAATCTACCCTTGCCATCTTTATAGATCACGTGTGTGACTTCAAATACAATTTCCTCAGTGAAACTTTGTCTATGCACGTGGCATACATTGGTGCACAGCACGTGACAAACATGCAACCGTTAAGATCTGATAAATAGCTTAGGCTGCTTATATATTGAATGGCCCTCGTAGAGTGACTTGGGCCTAGGCTGATATCACTCAAGAGTCACTTGGGCCTAGGTTGAAATCACTCTAGAATGACTTGGGCCAAGGCTTAGATCACTCTAAAGTAACTTAGGCCAAGGCTGAGATCACTCTCGCGTATTTAGAGCAAATGCGCAGACTCAAAGCATTGCACCCTAGTAGGCCCAAATGACTCCCCGTGTTCAAATCACTTCCCTTAGTATTTCAAATGCCCATAAGTGATTGTATGTTAATCATATTTATCTATGCATTATTCCTATTCTAAAAGCGTTTCTTTGCCCAATACACCACTTCGACCCTTACTTTGCCTAGACGGGTGGTGGAATGGGCCTGGTCCTATCAATCGGCTGGTCCCTATGCGCCGAGCCCTGTGCGTTACTTCTGCTTCAATTGTTTTTAAACTAAATATGTATGTTTGTATGTTGAATTATTTGCAACTTTGCCGAGTGTCTTAAAGCCCAGAAGGCGGTGGCTCATGGGTCAATCTGGTAGTTCATTCTTTGTAATGTTTCTGTTTAAGTATACCCTTCCTGGTATCCTTGGTGGCGCCTGTTGGGGGGCATTTGGCAGAAGTTTGACCATGGACAGAAAACATGTACAAAACATGCCGTTTGTTATCGTTGATGTGGAGGGGATCAAGATGGCAGCACATGTGAATTTGAATTCAAATGCGTTGATTGCTTCGGTCCTCACATGTCCTCCTCTAAAGTGGGTCCAGATTAGAAGTTCGAAAAAACCACCCAGCGCATAAAAACTGCGAAGAACATAAGTTGGCAGCTTCAATTTAACCATCCAGCAATATTTCCGTGAAAGTCAAATCTAGCTACGGCGACTGTATTGACTGTGAAACTGGATTTACTTGGGTAAAGACTGAAGCACCCGTGAGACTTCGTGAACTCAAGACTTAACCATCACCCGAATATCTTCCTTACAGATTACATCAAAATCATCTGAAACTAAGTCACGATCTTCACCACTTCGGAAAAAGAAAAATGTCAATGTGAATTATTGAAAAAAAATAGATTCCAATGACCGTCTTCCAAAAGGACACCGAAACTCTGTGTCCATTTTCAACAGGTTCGGTGTTTTAGATGACATGGAAGTGTCACCCCATCAGAGCACCTGCTCCTGGAGCCATATTCCTAAGAAAAACAGTCGGGTGCGATCTCCCATAACACACCCACAATGAATACTACACTAATACAATGGAATTGTCGAGGAATTAAAA